CCACAGGTGTGTCCACCAACCTCTTCCGCTTTGAGTGAACGCATGTCAAACCCCCAGACATCCCCCACACAAGCCAGCCGGGGGGAAAAATCGGGGGATTTGAAGTCCACTCATCTTAAAGTGGCCAAGTTTGGACAACACTGCTGTAGTGTGTTACAAACTCCAATAAATGCATACCTGTATATGGAGTGAAAGCTGATTCTCTGGTTTATTTCTCATTACCAAAGTTTATTGACTGGTTCTGATTCTGCACGAGAGGTCTAGCAGGAACTGTGTGTCCATTAGGTAAAACGGCTATGCTTAAAGGTGCTTTTGTTAACTGTACCCAGCACCGCTGTTTTCAAGGGGAAAGAACTGCTAACGAGAAGTACTTTATTGGAGTGATACTGTCAGAATCACTGTGAGTTTGGGATAGTACCTTCTCTCTGTGCTAATATTACTGTGTGTAAATTAAACAGAAACCTGTGACCTTCAGGCGATGCTGAACTCCATAATTCTTGAGAACTCTGGGAGATGCAATTGACAAGATACTCTCTCAAAAGCCACAGATTTTTGATACCACCTGGCCTAAATGATAATCTCTTAGGGAACCACATTCTTCATCTGTGGAGTGAAAGAATTAGTGCTCTAAGTTAGAACTACTCACAAGTACTCATAAAATGCACATTTGGAAATACATAAAGACTTCAGGTTCTAAGGAAGGCAATTTCAATTTTAACAACTCCACCAAAACGGTTTATTATCGGTGTACTAGGGTTAATTTAATCATCTGACTGACAATCAAGGTATCTAACAGAACCCCCAAAGCACTGGAGGGCACTGTTCTATAAGAAGTAGTCCTTAGAAAAGTAGCATGCTAACGTGGAAGGCAGTCTTCCAATGCGGACCAAGCCTGTCCTGTTTTCTTGTTCCAACTAGACATAAACAGACAAACAAACACCTGGAGAGCCACCATATTTGTCTAGCACAGTCTTTCCCAATTTTTTTTTTAATTTTATAAGTTAAAAATTTAACTTATAGCTTTGTAACTTAAACAGTCTCAGAACATATCATAGATGTTTTCGTTTGTTGTTATGGAGACAGTTTAAATATTATACACATCCTCCGATGCATTGGGATTATAACTTTTGCTAGTCTGACTGAATTTGAACGAGTGGTGGCTTCGGCCTATCAGAATAGCATTAAGTGGGGGAAGGCTAACCTAGAGGGATGGTTTGCCATAGTACTGCTGTCCTGGCATCTAGATCAGGGTTTTTCAAACTTCTGCAAGAACTTGGTGGACTTCCATGAGAGTGTAAGGGGAAAAAAAGGTTTGCTCGAACACAGCCAATTGTCTATCACCAGAGCTTTGCCTCTTGATCAGGGATTAAAGGTTTTTTTTTTTAAACTAACAGGTTCCATGGCCTGAAAAAGTTCAAAAAACCCTGATCTGGATGAATGCAGCCAATAGAATTGGCCGAAATAGTTAACTTGTGATTTATGGCAAGTTATTTCTGGCTGATGAATAGACCTGGCTAAATAATGACAGATTGCTATTTTATTAGCATAATATGGCTCAGTGAATGATAATTAAAAAGCACTAAGCTGATGATAAAATGAAAACAGACCACTCTCATGTTCAGAATTTCAAGCAGCTGTAACTCACATTTTTTTCAGCCATTCAATTTTTCTCCTCTTTTTTCTTTTTTCCATGTCCCGTTTCCTCTGCAGACTGGAATGATGGAATTCCTGTGTTCTAGTATTGCCTTTCACTGTTAGAGGATCCGTACCCTTCCAATACTGAAATGTATTGTTGAAAACAGTTTCACATTTATCAGAATATTTTGTCACTTGTCAAGGCAAAGTACTTTTAAGCCAACTGTGGTTCTGCCCAGCTCCCCTCTCTCTACCAATATGCTCCAGTTTTTTGGGGGGCCTGCTCAACTTTAACTGGTAGAGGCTTGCAGAGACAGAAATTTTGGAGCTTGGTAACAGCTGTGTTTGAATGGTCTGCTATGCTGAAAAGCTGGGTTGTTAAATTGACACTATTATTCTGCCCTTCCACTTCTACACTGCACTTCTGATTTGGTCTCTAACTCTTAATACTGCTGTGAGTCAGTTGGTTGAAATTGGTGGTACACAAATAAAGAAAGTAAGTTACATTTATACTGTGGTTTAACCAGGCATTGGCTTATCCTAGTTGGTTGAACCTGTTGGTTGGAATTTTTAGAAATGTTGACAAAACTTGATTATAAACTAAAAGTGGTAGGGGATTCAGCTACCATATGATGATGTATTTTATTTAACTGAGCTTTTTAGTTTAATATGCAAAAATAGCCAATATTGCTTCAAGGTTTACTGAACAAGGCAGTGAAAAAGGAGAAAACCAGATCCTGGTGATAGCTAGGTACATTTCCTTGCAGAAACAACAGAAGAAAAATTATAAGAAATGGCAAGATTTACTGTTTCAGATCAGGGTCTTCTGATGTAGAACGTCTAAAGATACCCCTACATTCTGAGTTAACAGCAGAATACAGCCTTTTTAGTAATGCTGTATATTTAATAAGATTAACCTAGCAATAAATATCCAGAAGCTTCAGCTGGTCCAGAATGCGGCCGCGCGGGCGATCTTAGGTGCATCAAGATCAGCACATACTGTATAACACCTTTGCTCCATGAGCTGCATTGGGTGCCAGTTTGCTTCCGGGTCCAATTCAAGGTGTTGGTTACCACCTTTAAAGCCCTACATGGCATGGGCCCAGGGTACCTGACGGACCGTCTCATCCCCGTTACATCAACCCGTCCCACCCGGTCATGCAGAGAGGGCATGCTACGGACCCCGTCTGTAAGAGAATTTCATCTGATGGGGTCCAGGAGGCGAGTCTTCTCTGCAGCAGCCCCTGCCCTTTGGAACACTCTTCTCCCAGGAGTGAGGTTGGCCTTTTGGACTTCAGAAGAAAACTGAAGACCTGGTTCTGCCATTACGCATGGGGTGGGGATGGGAATAGTGGGGTTGGCTGGTTCCCTAGTCTTAGACAGATATTATCTGGTCACAGGCTGAAATAATATCACCATCTCTTGGATTTTATTGTTTTTAATATTTGTATTTTATATTTGTATTATTTATGTTTTTATTGATTTTAAATTGCTTTGTTGTGAACCGGCCAGAGTCCCTCCTTGTGGGGGAGTTGGGTGGTGATATAAATTTGATATATAAATAAATAA